AGAAATTAATAGTACAATTACCTTAGCTATCTTGTGTGTGTGTGTATGTGTGTGTGTGTGTGTATATATATATATATATATATATATATATATATATATATATATATATATATATATATATATATTCCTCCTCCTTTCTTTTCCGCTTTTCCTCATCCAAGTTTTTCTTCCCTTTTTTATCTTTTATTTGAAACTCTTGTCCAAATTCTTGGGGAGGAGAGTGTTAGTCAGGTACGTTTTCTATCTTAATTTCAAGAACTCTAAGTTGAGATCAAAAGATATGTTAGGGGCTGGGGATTTAGCTCAGCGGCACAGTGCCTGCCTGGCAAGCATGAGGTCATGAGTTCGATTCCTGGTACCAGAAAAAAAAAATGTTAATTATTTTTTCAGTAATTATTTCCTGAGAGTCTGTTTTGTGCCAGCCATAGAGCACTAACAGGCACTGAGGACACTGCGAGGAGCAGCTTCATTTGGCCTGTGCCCAGAGGGAACTTGGTCAACCCGACATCCATTACTGAGAATTCAAAGTGTTAATATAATGGTCTGAATTGTGAGTATGGATGCCTGTATGGAAAGTAAAGGAGCCAGGTAAAGAACATCACAAAATATACCTCGCTTTGCTTGTATCTCTAACTTCACCAGAATTTGCATAATGATAGTAATAATAGTAATTATAAAAATAGCAGCAGCCTCCATTTCCTTAATAGTTACTATGTGTCATTGTTTGTTCTGAGTGCTTTAATTTTTATTTCCTCATTTAAGCATCGGAACAATCTGAGGTAGGTAGTGAGTGTTACCATATTATTTTACCAATACAGAAAAGTAAGACTAAGTGAGTAAATTAGCCCAAGATGACACATTTCAGCTGAAATACCTACTTCGAATTCCCTGAGTCATTCCTCCTTACACAGTGACAGTGAGTGATGTTCACCTCCAGGATGGCTAGGGAAGTCATTTTTTGTGTGTTTCCTTCCTGCTCAAAGAAGAGGAAGTCTTCCCACTTAATGTTTTTAAACTTCAGTTTAAAAATTTTTATTTTTAATGGACAGAGTTATACATATTTATGGCAGAGAAACTGATGTCTTTGAAATATATATGTATTGTGGAATGGTTAAATTGAGCTAATCAGAGTGCATAGTTATTCATGTATTTTTGTCATGTGAATGCTTAAAATCTACACTTCGGATAATTTGCAAGTATACAAAGCATTGTTATTAAGTGTAGTCATCGTGTTGCGCAGTAGAACTCTTGAATTTACTCCTTCTAACTGAAATTTGGCATGCTTTGACCAACATCTCCTTGCCACCATCCCTCTACCCCAGCCCTAATAACAGCTCCATTTTTTACTAACAAAGAGCTGTTAAGACAGCCCTCATTTTTCTCTTTCATTCTTACCCACATGTTTCAAGTTTTCTACACACTGAGGTCCCTCACAGCTCTGAAAGCAGATTTGGAAATATGTTGAATAGTTCCCCTCGAGTTACAGATGACAATATCAACCTGGATGTGTCACTGGAGACTGATGTATGTGCTTTAGGGAATAAATGATTTGTGTTTGAAAGAAAGCACTCAGCTGAAAGTGATGGGGGCCCCTCTGCCACTGCTGCTTGGAGCCCTTTCATATTTTAGAGAGACTAAAGACAAATATGGAGCTAGAAAAAGGAAAATATGGGTGATTTAGAGACTTCTGTCACTGTATTTAGGAACAGGTTGACTAGTAAAGATTTTGTTCTAGTAAATACTAAAGATTTTTAAAATGTTAAGACTTCTGTTCAGAAAACTTTCTGAAACCCTTTGAAGAAAATAGTTAAGTATTCTGATGATTTTCATAATATCAAAAATGATAAAAAGGTTTTGATGAGTTTGCTTATTGACAAATTAGTAATAGCAGTTTTCTGTTGGAGGCTGACCAGCGGGAACAGGATGCACCTGGATGGTGGATTTCTGTAAAAGTTAGATGAGATTAAAAGGGCTCAGCGTGGTAAGATGTAGCATTTGGAGATCTTAAAATTATGGCCAGGGTCAACTATCCGCTTTTCTTTCTCAATGTTTTCCTGTCTTCCCCCATTCACCCTTTCCTTGAAGATTCATGATCAGGCTTTTACTTCTTTTTCCTTACAGGTAACATCAATTAAGAAACCTTATTATGGTTTCTCTTGCCTTTTTTTTTTTTGGTGGTGGGGCTCAAACTCAGAACCTTGCACTTCCCAGACAGGCATTTGTACCACTGAGCTATGTCCCTGGCCCCGGTTTCTCTTGCCTTTAAGTTTTCTTTTTCTTTCTTGATTTTCTTAGGTTACTGTTTTCACTGTGTTAATTATATATGTATATACCACTATTCTACTTCCTTTCCCTTCTGCCACATACACGTTCACACATGTACACACACACCAGAGATTAATATGCAGTATTTAACTGGTGATATAGAAGATTTTTTTCTACAAAATACTGATTTATTAAGTAAAGGACACTATTAGGTTAAGCAGCTAAATCTTAGGAATTGTATATCATACTTCAAATGTGATCTAATTGGAAAGCAATTTGTGAAATATAGTCTTTGATATGTATAAGCTAATTTTAAAATTTCCTCATTTAATTTTAACCCAGGAGCTAATACAGTCACAGGATTTAACAATCAGCTGATTATGAGAAGTTGCACTGTAACTGGAAATCTCATTCCCCCTCCTCCTGCTTCAGTCTTCAGCCCTGCCCATGCTGCTACAGGGACTTACTAGTTTTTTGCAAGTTTTTCTTGGTTATCTTTACGCTGAAGTAAACAAAATAGGATATATAATTCTTATACAGGAGTTTTGTTGTAAATTTTACTAAATACATACTGATCTGCACCCAATCTTGTGCCATAAAAGCAATGCTAAAATAATCTGTCTACTCTGTATATAGATCATCTCATCCCTATTCAGATAAGCTGTCAAGAATTTCCCAGAAGTGGTATCCTGGGTCTTAAAGAAAAAATGCATTAGTAATTTTGAGTGTTAGTACTAACTTGCCCTTCATAAGGGTTGTACTATTTTTTACTCCCACCAGTAATATCTAAGAATACCTCTTTTCCCACATTTATGCCATCAGAATATGTTTTCAAACTTCTGGAATTTGGCCAGTTGTGTGGATGTAATTGTATGCTTTCCATTTTTCTTACTATGAATGAATTCAAGAAATTTTTCATATGTTTAATAGCTATTGTATTTCTTTTACTGTAAATTGTCTTTTCATGTTCTTTGATGAGTTTTCTACTGGTTTCTAGCGATCATCTGTGGTATAAGTTGGGGAAAAATCTTCTTAGCTATTCATCTTTTGTCTTTATTTTATTTTCTTGTACTTTATTTTGCCCATCCTATTTTTTGAGAAAACTTTAAAGGTAGCACTTGCTTTATATAGCACTGTGGAAATGTAAAAATCACCATGCAATCAAAAGCCATTCAAAGCAGTCTTAGTTAACAATCACAGATGTTGTATTGTTAGTGGTAGTGATGGTGCTTTTTTTTTATTTGTTTGTTTGGTTGGGTTTTTTGGAGGTTTTTTGAGACAGGGTCTTTACGAGGTCAGGCTGGCCTCAGACTCATCGCAATCCTGTCTCAACCTCTGGAGTGCTGTGCAGGCATGCACCACCACACCCAACAATATAAAAAACTCTTACTGTCATGAATAAATGTATATGGAAATGAAAATAAGAAATTAGGGTCTATTTAGTATATATAACATTAGAAACAGAGTTAAAGTTCTTTACTTCTTTTTAAGTATCTGACAAAGAATGATGTGAAGAATGCTTGCTGCCTTCAGCTTGTGTACTTCGTTACTCCATAAGTGTCTTTTCCATGCCTCAGCCAGCCGTTATGGTTCTTTTGCATTTGGATCAGCTGCTAGCATTTTGTGCCTTGTATTTTTCTTATTGTAAAGTATCACTAGTAGTTCCTTAAATATGAAGTCTTTTGTTGGCATCACTTCCTCTGGCATCCCCTCCCTTTTCGTCTTCCTCCTCTCTTTTGTCACAGCCATTGTCCTCACTTACTTTGAGAAGTTTGCCTTTTCTGTGGCTACATACATCTCTTAGATGGCAAATGTGTCAAAATTTCCACAATCACCATTTCTTCTAAACTCTGTTTGCATTCAGGTCAGATTCCATGTGCTTTCATCACTTTTACTTTTCTTGCTGTATTTTTATCTTTGTCGGACAATTCCCTTTCACCTATAGTTCTTAATAAAATGTCATATGGGCTTATCACTGGGAGACAAGGCAGTGACACAGCTATACACACTGTTGCACGTACATGAACTGAATAACTGATGTATAGTGATCAGTTACCAGTGAACTTGGAAAAAGTCATGTGATTTGTCAAATCATGATGAACATAAGTTATCCACATAGAGTTATCCATTATAGCTATCACTATAGTTGGTACTTCATGCATTTACTTACAGTTAATGAACTATGATAACTCAATTATGATACTATGGAATTTAAACCATGTTGTGGGGGATTTATGTAACTAGACTGTAGTAAGTTACACTTGTGCATATCAAAACACAAAAAGCAAGAGCTACCTCTCTAGAAAAGTACAAAGAGTAATGTAAAAATTTACGTAGTTATCTCTGAGGCTTGACAGTTATTAGCATTCTGTTATGTATCCTTTATATGTTTTAACAAAGGAAAGAAAACACTACAAATGAAGTTGACATTCTTCTTTGACTTTCAGCCCCTATCTCATTCTCTTCCTTCTTGCATTAATAAAAATATCTTTGTCTTTCCTTTCCCACCAGTTTAGAAGTCATGTTTTTCAATTTAATCTTTTTTCTACTTCAAAAGTGAAATAACTTGTTTTTTTAAAGAAAATCTGAAGTCCTGTATAGATGAGTAATAGAGTGATGATCTGTTCTTATCTTAAAAAGAGCCAAAGCCCATAGATGCCCCAAGCTGTGCTGTCATTGTTCTGTAAGTGTTTTCTGATATGCTTAACAAACTTTGTGCTCTGTTTGTCTTCCAGGTTTATTCAAGAGATTGAGCACGCCCTGGGACTTGGCCCAGCCAAGCAGTGTCCTCTTCGAGAGTTTCTCACCGTGTACATCAAAAACATCTTCCTCAATCAGGTCTTGGCTGAGATCAACAAGGAGATTGAAGGCGTCACTAAAACGTCTGACCCCTTGAAGATCCTGGCTAATGCAGACACCATGAAAGTGCTGGGGGTGCAGCGGCCTCTCCTGCAGGTGATAATACACTAAAACTTACTATTTTTGTCAGCTCTTTTTATTGACTTGCCAAGAGTTATAAATTAAAAAAAGAAGAGTTACCATCTGTTTCCGTATTCATCAGAGACAAAACAAGAGGAAATTAAATAGGCACTAGGGAAATTTAGGTCTAATATACTTGGATAATGGAAGTTCCTTAAGCTCTCTAAGAAAACAGTGGTTAACTTTGAATGTGGGAGATGGTGAGTCTCACTAACTTGCTGGTAGCTCTTCAATTATTAGCCTAGAATTTGTCCTTGAAAGGCATTGTGTTTCCCATTGGTAAATGCATCCCAGAATATCAGGGATTAGCAGGAAGGAAATTAGTTACTCTACCTGGCCTCAGTTACCAGCAGGAAACACTCTGCATCATTTGAGGCCAGGCTTATTGTAGTGAGTTTGAACCTGGCTTTTCAACATCAGATCATTTAATTCAAATAATGATCTTAATATTGAAAGTCTTACTTTGACTACATAAAGAAATGTCTTCTAGGTGATAGGAATAAAATAATGTTTGTAGATATTTTTATTAGTGGGTTTAAGATATACATTTTGTACATATGTTAACTTAAAGATAAATATAAAACTAAAAGAAAATTAGGTGAGTTCAAATTCTAGCTACACACTGCTATTACATTATAATTTAATCTTTACAGCTTTTCTTCGTGTAAAGGAGCAGTTAGTACAAAAACACATTTTTCCTTAAACTGTACAATATGAGGATACTCAAAGCACAGAAAGCTTGATCTCTGCAAGAAGAAGCTGCATAAATGGGAATTATGATACGTGTTTCAATTACCTACCTACATATGTGTTTTCCTTGATTTTACCTTTTATGTATTTTCAACTTAACAGCAGTGCTGGGCCTTTCTTAGAGATGTATCCTAACTATGAGCATTCTTTTTATGCACAAACTCTTCTTTTATATTGAGCAAACTGAATAGGGACTTCACACCTAGGAAGGTGCTGTCTTGGGCTGTTTGGGTTAGCGGTAGATCTGTTTGTACCAAGGGGTCTGCAAGGCTTGTATACAGAGAAGGGGGGATGCAGAGACACATGCTCAGTCCTCCCTCTGCTGAGCTGTTCTTCCCATGGCTCATTGCATGGCTGAGACCTTCTCTATGAATTTTAATTGAAGTGTCTCGACTCGGGGGAAATCTCTACTGGGAGTTTTCTTGGCTTTCCTACCTAAGGACCACCCCTCCCTATACATTTTCAGTGCTGAAGATAAACCCTATGGACTGTACCACCAAGCCTATCTTTCCACGTAGCTCCCAGTCAGGTTTTGAAAAATAGGAAGCATGAACAGGAGATTGGAAGGTGAGGAGACAATTGGAATAATGTCTTCTCCACTTCCCTTCCTAATTTTATCACGATCCTGACCATGGATGCTTGCCTCTGTAATCAGAGGTCCTACCAGATGGACATTCTCTCCGTAGCTCCAACTCTTACTGGGCTCTGACAACACCATTTCTTCTCTGTGCCCCTGGATCTCTGCTTTCTGCTATTACTAGCCTCTGGGCGCCTAACATCCCTTGTTACTGCTTTCCACCCTGCCTGTACTTCTGTAAGTTCTTTCTTCCTTAATGTTTCTTCAGATGAATCATCTGAACAGAGCATTCTCTGTGTCAGAATCCCAAAGCGATCTCCTTCATTAATCACTATTTTAACACTTTGGGTGTTCAAAATTTTTTTTATTTTTTATGTTATTAATGATCAAACCCAGGGCTTTACCCTTGCTGAGCTGTAGTCCTAGCCTTAACATTTTTTCCCCTTCTTAGCACTTATGACTAGAGATTATGTCTTATTAAACATGTCTATTTTCAGCTTGAGTAGCAAAGACACATTAAAACCCTTAACTAATTGAGCGTAATCTGGGCCATGCCACACCATATATATTTCCCAGCTGCATGTCATCTCTAGGCAGTCTACTGATGTGTCTGACAGATCACTTCCGACCTCTTCACTGTATAACTGTGCCACTTGTTCTTTAAGTCAGTTATTCTAATGTTAAGTAAGAACTTCAGCTTTACCTGTTCTCTTCTGAACTTTGTTGAAATATAATTATAAAGGGGTTGGGGATTTAGCTCAGTGGCACAGCACCTGCCTGGCAAGCGCAAGGTCATGAGTTTGATTCCTGGTACTAGAAGAAAAACAAAAACAAAAAAAGATATAATTATATGTAAGTAAGTAAATCTTGAGATTAAAGCCATCTAAACTATTAACCTCCAAATTTGTCATCAGAGCTAGAATACCTGCTTTGTTATTTTGGTTAGTTTATTACCCTCTCTTTTTTCATCAAAATTTTATTTAGTGAAAGCATAAGGTGTTGAGGGTGCAGAAAATAAATCTGCTTAATAATATCAAAGTTTTTTGGGTCTTTTTTGTTTTTGTTTTTGTTTTTTTCCAGTACCAGGAATTGAACTCAGGACCTCACACTTGCCAGGCAGGCGCTGTGCCACTGAGCTAAATCCCCAGCCCCCAATAGTATCAAAGTTACAAGGTTTAAAAAGCAAATGAAGAGACAGCTTCAAGTTTCAGTGTTTCCCAAATGTGTTTCCTGTTTCTTTGGTAATTTTATTCCCAGCTAATTGAATACAGCTAATCTGCAGAAAAAATAAGAAATAATCCTTTTAAAAATGTAGCTGAGAATCCAAAACAAATAGTAAGAAGGAGCTTGGAGAGATATACGTATATGTAAAAGATGCAGGAGGGTGATTATGTATTCGAGTTTATGAAGCATAAAGATGTCCTTTACAGTTACTCTCTCTGCTAGACTGTCTGGTCCCAGAGTAGCAGGGAGGACGTGCCTTTCCCCCGAGGTAGCACCCAGTGTCATTTGGTATCAGCGCAGCCAGATTCTCTAGGGAGGTGAAGGGACACCTGTCTTAGTGCTGCTTTCATCTGTTTGATGATGGACAGATGCAGTGATGGGAGCCCTGTGAAGGAAATGAAAGGACACTTTGTCCTTGCCCCTCTGAAATGACGTGTGGGAGATACAGGCACGTGTTGTGAGGGGCATTTCTGTGGGTGCTAATATGTATTTGTACCAGCAAATTTACTTGCTATCAAAGAGTCCACAGAAAGGAAGGAAGAAAGTCAGAGGAAGGACGAGTATAAGCACCATTTATAGATGCAACAGCTATGCAAGTATTGGCCCAAAATAATACAGCAGGTAGTACTAGTAATAATAATAATAATCATAATAGTAGTAGTAGCGGTCACAGCTAACATTTTGGTAGTATTTACTATGTATTCACTGCACACTGTTCTGAGTGCTTTATATGCATTGACTATAAGGGCTTTGATTATATGATAGGAGCTTCTGTGAGGGTCTCATTATGTTGAGGAAACTTAGAAACAATGAAATTAAGTAACTTGCCCACAGTCATCTGTCTACCAAAAGTAGAACTGTAACTCACACCCAGGTTTTCTAACCTGGGAGTGTGTGCTCTAAACCAGTTCAACTCAGATCATAGCCTGAGGATGACGCTTATCTGCCAGCTTTGTGTTACTAGTATCCTATCCACAAAGAATTTGATACTAAGCATTTAGACTTTTATTGTCTATTTAGGAATTTGACATTATCTCTTGAAATCTAACAAAAAATTAGGACTTACATGTAATATAGTTTGGTGGGTTTTTAAGTGTCTTTTTTTCTAATAACTCATTGTATTGTATTTTATAAAAATATCTACCTTTCCAACAGACAGCAGAGTTTAGACATTTGACATTAATTCTGTCCTAAATCTCCAGTTCGTAGACTGTCCCCAGAACAGCCAGAACGTTAAATATGCACTCAGTATTTAATCAGTGAATGAGTGGATGAATAGATATGAGTAAATAAATGAATGGTGGTGTCCTCAGTACAATAACGTGTGTGTGTGTGTGTTTTCTTCCATGGCATAAAATGTACACTCTTGAGTTTGATGGTAATGATACCAACCATAATAGTAGATAGATGTAATGATTCTAGACAGTACTTAAATTAAAATGTCATAGTTCTTATGCCTTTGATGCTCCTTGAATAAAGGTAGGATTGAATTTACTGCATGGTCTTACCGTGTGAGAATCCCCTTTGCCATTGTTTTTTCTGTAAATGGCTTTCACCCATTGCAAAGCAAAGCATGCTGATTCACAGTAAACTGAGGAACTCTCTTAAGAGAAAGTGTTATTCATTATTCGTGAATCATGTGGGCCTTCTGATGTCATTCTGGACATGATATCTGGGGTATAGTTATTTAAGCTAGATCTTATATGCCTTCTAGAGTCTACAAATTGTTCATTCCATAGACACGAGGAAAGCAATTGAACCGATTCACTTTAATTTCCTACTTTGTCATTGACTTGGAGATATAGTTCCTGTTTTGTATCTCTGTGTTAAAAGAGAAAGAAAAACATTAAATACTTAATGTTTTTATTGTTTA